AGGGCATCCCCAATTTTCGGTATTTTGAGGTTCTTGAGCGCGATTTTCAACCGAATTCGCTGAAATTTGGTACATTGGGTTCTTATTGGGTACCAAATATCTCTATTAAAAATTATAAATATCGGTCCACTTTTTCATATCAAATATCTGTCAGTATACCTGTAGTGGCGGGTATCCAAAGTTCGGCTCGGCCGAACTTGTTTTATATTAATTTCTATATATTTGTTATTATTTTCCAGCATGGTTACTGGCACCGTGGCACTGGTCTTTTCGGCTATTGGTGTTTTACTTTCCGGTGTTATCATATCAAAATTTAAACCAAAAGCACGTTATCTGGCCGCTTGGAACATTTTGGTGGATATTGTTACATTGGCTGGCATGATTGCCTATGTGTTTACTGGCTGTGCGGCAAATGATAATTCTCTAATAAATAATGCCAGTGATAGGTAATAGTAATCTCAACAAAATTAATCATAATTTATAATTTAAATTAAAAATGTGTATACATTTCTTTTACAGTATTTTGAATTCAACATTAAGTTGTAATGGCATTTGTCACTGTGATTATGTACGCTATACGCCAGTATGTGGTGAGGATATGAGGACATATATTTCACCATGTCATGCCGGATGCAAGGGAGAACATATGGATGCTAATGGTGTTAAGGCAAGGGGAAATATATATTTGTAACATTCTTTTTTTATAATAACGATTTTTATTTGTTCACAAATTTAGAGTTACTATGACTGTTCCTGCATACCCACCACTACGAATCAAACATTAAATAAAAATCCTTTATTTGAACCACTAACATTGACGGATCTCAACAGTTCTTCCATGAATGGAACAAATGTGAGTTAAATGTTTGTTCAATTGATTTCGAAAAAAATTATGTTTAATGGTTACCTCTTCGATTTTCAGCTATCCCTCGGTGTTGGAGGTCAGGCCATGGCTGGTGCCTGTCCCGTCAATTGTTATAATCAATTTATAACATTCTTGGTGGTTATGTGTACCATTAAATTCTTTGCTGCCACCGGTAGAGCAGCCAATATGTTAATTACAATGCGTTCAGTACCGCCCGAGGATAAATCCGCCATTATGGGTTTCGGCATGATGTTCATTTCGTTGGTGTGCTTTGTACCCGCACCCATTTTATTCGGTTGGATATTTGATAAATATTGTTTAGTATGGGGTAAAACATGTACCAATAAGGGCAATTGTTGGCTGTATGATTCCGAAAGTTTGAGGTAAGTTAGAATGTAAAAATTTGGTAATTCAAATTTTAAAATTCTAAATTACGATCTTCCAGAATAACACTAAATACTGTAGCTGCCATTTTTATTTGCATAAGTACCCTGTTTAATGGTGGTGTTTGGTATCATGTCAAAAATCTTAAAGTATTTGATGATGAAGATGAAAACGGCACCGAAATGAAACCTATTCCTACAAATGGTGATGAATAGTAGAAAAGAACAAATATTCTCGAAATTATGGCATCCATACATACTCTTATTCTATGGATATTATTTATTCGTATATATTGAAAACGAATTTATTTTCTTAAATTCTTAGAAGAAAAAATAAAAAAAATAATAATAAAATTTTTGATGAAGAATATAATGAGTATATGTGTGAGGTCTAAGATGAATATTTCGAGGTGTTGCAACCGTATTAACATAAAGACCCCCTTATGGTAGATGATATGAAACAAGTGATCATATATTGATGCAGCTGAAAAGAATCTAATGTAAAAAAGTGTCATTTCTTTAAATCTTTGTTATACCCTTCACCGCACTGTGGTACAGGGTATTATGTCTTTGTGCATATGTTTGTAACAGGCAAAAGGAATCGAGATAGACCCATGGTTCCTTTTGAGAATATAGAGAACATAGAATCACATTCTGAGTCGATTTATGCATGTCCGTCTGTCCGTACTAGCGTACTGAATTAAGTCTAGAATGATGTGTGCTAAATTTCGGGAAAATCGGTTCAGATTTAGATATAGATCCCATATATAGTTTCGCCCGATTTTAGGTAAATGGTGCACCAAAGTCCCTGAAAATCATTAGATTTGCACGAATTTTGGCATAGCGTAATGAATTAAGTCTAGAATGATGTGTGCTAATTTTCGGGAAAATCGGTTCAGATTTAGATATAGCTCCCATATATATAGTTTCGCCCGATTTTAAGTAAATGGTGCACCAAAGTCCCTGAATATCATTAAATTTGCACAATTTTGGCATAGCGTAATGAATTAAGTGTAGAATGACGTGTGATAAGTTTCGTGCAAATCAGTTCAAATTTAGATATAGCTCCCATATATAGCTTCGCCCGATTTTAAGTAAATGTTCCATCAAAGTTCCTGCAAGTCTTTTGATTTGCACGAATTTTGGTGTAGCGTACTGAATTAAGTGTGGAATGATGTGTGTTAAGTTTCGTGAAAATCGGTTCAGATTTAGATATGGCTCCCATATATAGTTTCGTCCGATTTTAAGTAAATGGTGGACCAAAGTCCCTGAAAATCATTAGATTTGCACGAATTTTGTCATTCAATTTGCACGAATTAAGTCTAGAAAGATGTGCGCTAAGTTTCGTGGAAATCGGTTCAGATTTGGATATAGGTCCCATATATAGTTTCTCCCGATTTTAGGTAAATGGTGCACCAAGGACCCTATATATTTAAATCTGCTCGCATGAAATTAAATTTATCATAGGTTGCAGAATAACATGAGTATGTTCCTTCTAAGGAACTTTGACATACAATTGTAAGGATACATAGGCTCAATTCAGTACGTTATGCCAAATTTCGTGCAAATCGAAAGATATATAGCGACTTTGGTGCACCATTTACATGAAATCGGACGAAAATATATATGGGAGCTATATCTAAATCTGGACCGATTTTCTCGAAACTTGGCAGACATCATTTTATTCTCAATTCAGTACGTTATGCCAAATTTCGTGCAAATCGAAAGATATATAGCGACTTTGGTGCACCATTTACATGAAATCGGACGAAACTATATATGGGAGCTATATCTAAATCTGGACCGATTTTCACGAAACTTGACACACATCATTCTAGACCTAAATGATTAGGCTGTACCAAATTTCGTGCAAATCGAAAGATATATAGGGACCGTTTACATTAAATCGGTTAAATATATATTTGGGAGCTATATCTAAATCTGAACCGATTTTTCCCAATTTCAATAGGGTTCGTCCTTGGGCCAAATAAGTGACCTGTGCCAAATTTCATTCAAATCGGATCATAAATTCGACCTGTACTTTGTTTACGATTTAACATCTACAGACGGACGGACGGACACACGGACGGACGGACATGCATAAAGTGATTCTATGCATATTCTCAAAAGGAACCATGTGTCTATCTCGTTTCCTTTTGCCTGTTACAAACATATGCACAAAGACATAATACCCTGTACCATAGAGTGGTGAAGGGTATAATGAGTTAGACAAAACACAAAACCCAAGCGCCATCTATTGACGTGGCCACATAATAACTCTTGTTATGCTTACATAGTTTGGACATACACCGGATATAGGTTTAATAAATACACATCGTTATTGTCGTTATTATATGCTTATTCATTTCGCATAGAACCAATAAAATCTATTAGGTAAAGCTTTAAATGGCGTGTGTCTATACTAGGCACCAGTCAATTTACCAACCACTAATGGTAGTACCTATGGAACACAATAGATGGCTCTGCAGAAGTATGTATAACAGTTTTCATTGATACTAGGATTGGGACAGTTTTTTCTCTATCTCAAAATAATAACACTTAACTCTAAATTGATTAAGTGAGTTGGTTATTTATTATAATCTCCACCATAGGGGGAGTGTTTATTAAATTTGTCATACCGTTTGCAAAACATCGAAATATTCAGCGGAGACCCCATAAAGTGTTGTTGATCAGATTAAAAGTCTATGTTGATTTAAGCGTGTTTGGGGTTTTTGGGCACATTTTTCAATCGAATTTGGTATTATGGGTTGTGGGGTGGTAGAGAATCTTTCTCTAAAAATTATCAATATTAGTCGACCTTTTGAGGAAGCCCCCATATAGATAACGCTAAATTCCAAAGTTCGATATTTTGGGGAACTTGAGCACGCGTTTCAACCAATTTTTGTTGCATTCTAATATTTTGGATCCCCATTGAGAATAAAATGTCCTTACCAAAAATGATCAACATTAGCCCATGTTTCCGGGTAGTCTTCCTATGTTGGGATCGATTTCAGCCGAATTGGCTTTAAGTTGATTTTTGTGATTCTCATGGAGTGACAATGATTAATATTAGTCTACGTTTTAGGGAAGCCTTCATATAACGCTACAGCCTAATATTCGATATTTCGGGGAGCTCGAGCACGTGTTTCAACCAATTTAGGTGAAATTTAATATACGGTTTGGGGAAAAAGAATCCATTATTTTTATATAAATTATAGGCTTTTTAAATGGCAACATAATGCCTCTCTCATAGAAGTCCTCTATTTTCACAATCCTCCCTAGATACCCATTTTTATACCCATCACCACACTGTGGTACAGGGTATTATGCCTTTGTGCATATGTTTGTAACATGCAAAAGGAATCGAGATAGAACCATGGTTGCTTTTGAGAATATGCAAAGAACCACTTTCTTACGCATGTCCGTCCATGTATTTTTGTGATCCGATTTAGATGAAATTTGGCACAGTTCACTTATTTGGCCCAAGGACGAACCCTATTGAAATTGGAAAAATCGGTTCAGATTTAGATATATCTCCCATATATAGCTTCGTCCGAATCGGTTTAGATTTAGATATAGCTTCCATATGTAGTTTCGTCTATATATAGTTTTTCCGATTGGGACAACATTTTGCACAGAGTAATGAGTTAGGTCCAGATTGATGTCTGTGAAGTTTTGGTAAAATCGGTTCAGAATGATGCACCAAACTCCCAATATTTGTCCGATTGGGACAAAATTCTGCACAAAGTACTGAATTAGGTCCAGCCTCATGTCCGCGAAGTTTTGTTAAAATCGGTTCAGATTTAGATAAATAATCACTTAAAAGCTCCCATACAAAACTCCTAATATTTGTCCGATTGGGACAAAATTTTGCACAGCGCACTGAATCAGGTACATACTTATGTATGCGATTTTTTTTTTTTTTTGGAATCGGTTTAGATTTAGATATATCTTCCATATGTAGTTTCGTCCATATATAGTTTTTCCGATTGGGACAAAATTTTGCACAGGGTACTGAATTAGGTCTAGATTGATGTCTGCGAAGTTTTGGTAAAATCGGTTCAGATTTAGATATAGCTCCCATATATAGTTTCGTCCGATTTTTTGTGAATGTTTAATAAGTGAAAAAGCGTTAAGTTCGGCCGTGCTGAACTTTGGTTACCCTCCACCATAGGTATTATGACAGATACTTGAAATGAAAATATAGGGAACATACCAAAAAGTGGACCTATACCGACATTTCTAAAAACTGATTATGTAAACCATAATACAAATTTCAGAAATTTTTAATGGATAATTATAACACGGTGAAAATGTGGCTCTTTGGACCAAATCCGTTTCAGAAAATTTAGATTTCATCCAAACTTTCACATCTTATTACTTCTTCCAAACTTAATTCAAATTCGAAGATGGGGAATATCGGTCCACTCCTTCTGGAACCTCTGCACAGAGGTTAGGTCTAAATGCGGCTATAGTTCATTATCGAACCTTATGTTCTAAGGGGGGGCTACCCCCCAAAAGAGGGCGAATATTAATAATTTTAAATACCGAAAATAGGGGGACGGTTATATGGGATCTATGCCTAAACGTGGACCGATATATCTTCGAACTTGACCTGCCTGCAGCAAAAAGACAAACCTATGCAAAATTTCAGCATCCTATCTCAATTCCTTCTGGTGATTACAACAGACGGACGGACGGGCGGACGGGCGGACGGACATGGCTAGATCGTCTTAGAATTTTACCCTGATTAAGAATATATATACTTTATTGGGTCGGAAATGAATATTTCGATGAGTTACAAATGGAATGACAAAATCAATATACCCTATGGTGGAGGGTATAAAAATTACACAAATAACAAAACCTGTAATTTGTTTAGAGAAAGTCATGAATGTTAATAAATGTCCTCCATAAATTACCCTGTATTTGGAAACAATGACAGTAATCATTCCCAAACAGTGTCGAGCTTAGGTGTCAACTTCAATAATGGATGACAAATTATCTAATCATTTTTATTTTCAGGTTAGGTTGCATACACTTTCTCTGCTTATATTTCATTTTCAATTACATTACCTCAATGAGAAACTGTGAATAAATCTGTTATTGTCTTAGCTCCTCAGGTCTTCTCTATATGTCAATCTTAATTTAATTAAAAAACAACCCTACCGACTACCTTTGCACTCCCATTTTAAAGTCATTTCATGCATTTCATT